CATGGAGCATTCACAGACATATGACCCAACTCTTATGTTTTTGCAAATCTAACCACTAAACTATTTCTTAATGATATCCCTGCATTAGAAAAAAATAAATTATGATACTAAAGTGAATTTCTCTGTTCTGAAAGACGAAATCCATGGAAGCCAATGTATCTATAGCTTTTTTTAAAACTACCCTCAACAAATACCCTCAAAGAATGGAATGGCAGGGAAAAAAACAATAACCTAAAAGAATCACTAACTTTGAATAACATGGAGTCCATATGAACATAAAACGGTAAAAAAAAATTCGATTGCTGTGAATATGCACTGTTCGACGATAGGTTGGGATGAGGAATGAAGAAGGGAACTGCCTTGATGCTTCAAACATATCACAGAAACAGCGAATCTATATTTTTATCAAAGTAGATCTAGGTTTAGCCAACTCAACACTTCCAAACAACTGGATCGACTGAAATTTCTTGCCAATCTCAGATCTCTCGGCGAAATAGGGGAAAGAAGGGATGAGACGATTGTTTTGTTACCTGCGGAGGAGCGACAGAGGCGAGATCGAGCAAGTGTGCGAAGGAAGGTCGGCTGCGGGGTTGAGGGTAGCCGAAGGAAATTTTGGAGCCAAAACGCGGATCGCGGGGAATAAAAAAAGTTGTTCTAAAAAACGCAGTAAAAACGTGATTTTCAAACGCTACGGCGGCGTTTTCAAAAACGCCGCCGCACATTTAAGCTGTCCCAAACGGGCCCTTTTAAGCTGTCCCAAACAGGCCCTTAGAAGTATTTTTAATTGACAGAATATTTGAATGTATGTCTTGATAGTTCTCAAATGCACGCATGAAACTTTCCTCACTTTTCGTTTCTGTTTGGGATTGAGAAATATCAGAAGTCAATGAGTGCAGATTACTTGGCATGAAAAATGTTTCCGCAATTTTTTCATTTACTTCCCAGCAACAGCGAGGGCTGGCAGACTGGCAGGAGGGAGGGGCTGTAAAAGTAACAAGATTAATTTCAATTCGGAGTTGTGGGATCAATGGAAATAGAAGAAATGCAACGAACAAGTTTTGTTGGGGATGCGGGCGAGGGTTGACGATTGCTCAATCTGAAGGAATGAATTTCATGGCGTTTTTTGTTGCTAGGAAAAAATTCTGTAGTTGTGAAATGGATGCAATATTATTTAAAGAGGTACTTCAAAAAAAAAAAAGAAAAAAAAAAAAATGAAAACAAAATCATTTGGGGATGTGGAGTGTAGCATAGTTATACTTCATTTTTGTTAAGTAAAAATTAAGGTAAATTATGCTCTAGTACTTGCTTTCTACTACAATTTTTTTCTTATTCCTTTGATTGGTTGTATGATACCATTTTTTTTCATCCTCACATTAATGCCACGAGCCCTAGCCCATGCCTCCTCACTCCTTTAGTTTTCTTATTTTCTAATGGATATTTGGTTGCAAGTAGAATTTCTACACCATAAAATAAATATAGAAGTTTTGAATTTTTTGGCATTTTTGTACACCGTAAAATAAATATAGAAGTTTTGAATTTTTTGGCATTTAGGTAGAAGACAAAAAAAGTAAAAGTAATTTGTTGAGAGATTAATGATTCCTCAATTAGCATATTTTCTGTACATTTGGAAATTGTCCGATTTCGGTGATTTTTAAATGCCATGTGCGATGAAATGATGTCACAACTCAAACTCCTTTGCACAATCTCACTATGCCATCCGTACCCACCTCGAGGATGGCTTCACCTTCATAGTTATGGCCTTATGGAGTTCATGACGCCTAAACAACCATGCACGATGATGAAGTTGCTCCTGTGCAAATCGAAGACCTTCATTGTGGCCTCCTAGACTTAAAAATCTTTGTTTGGAGCTCCCCTGCTCGAGTTGATATCACCTCCTCTCGTAACAAAGCTTCAGGTTCAAATATATATATTTTTAATATTATTTTTATTAGTTCCAACTGAGTGCAATAATATCCTGAATTCCAAAATACGGAGTTTACATTACATTTAAATTTCTATGAAATTTTAAATACTTGCAATCAAACAAGCCATAAAGGCATTTGATTATTACATCATGTGGTTATTACCTTAGTTTTGTAATATTCTGATCTATTTTTTCAATCACTTGTTGCCTTTTGGATATTATCAATAGCCAAATCTTATTATTCATTAGCAAGGTCAAGAGAAATTCAAAATATATTTGATAACAGACTTACGTACAATTTGAGATTGATTGTGTTTGTGTGTGCATATGCGATCGGAGATCGAGTGACTAACTAGAGACCTTAAGGCAGGGGCAATGTGAATCAAGATAGTGTGTGAATTTGACGCATCAAGAAGCATTATTGCGAAGAAGCTTGCAAACTAATTGATAATATTGCCAACAATAAGAATCACTGCAAAGTGTATGAGAAAACCAACCAATGAGAGAGTGTGACGTGAAAACCAAGGAGTAACTAGCTCCAGCGGAAAAAAAAAAGAACTATGACTACAAGATATAATAAGAAGTAATTGTTTACACTTATTTATTATGGTAAATGCTGAATTGAATAATGAAATTTTATTCATGATTTTGTCTTGATCTTTTTGAACCAAGTGCATGACACTACTGCATGACGTAGTAAAGCAGTGTGACATACACTTTACTTAAACTTGCGCTCCAGAGACAAGTGATGCGATGCCTAACATTTTGCTTCGCCTTAAACTATATTGATTTACGAATATCAAATATCTCTCTTGTTATGGAAGTCTTAATTGGAAAATGAGAGGATTAAAGAATAAGCAACTTGTTTAAGAAGGACTAAGAAGTAGATAATCAAGAAACACCTCAATGTATGGGAGTAAGGGGATTGTAAGAAGGATGCGTCATATTGATTTTAGAACCATGAACTTCTAGATGCAATGTTACATCTTCTGATAATATTTGTGCTTGTTGATTTTAGAACCATGAACTTCTAGCTGCAATGTTACATCTTCTGATAATATTTGTGCTTGTTTCTTTTCTTATTTTTTTATTTGTAGATATCTTGGATTGATGCCCCTAATTAGGAAGAGCTATTGACTTAATAAAATTTAATGATATTGCTTGCACCTACCTATTCTTCTCCTTATGAACATCTCTTACTTTGTATTTCACTTAAACCTATGCATGTGATATTTCTGTAAAGCTAAGCCTTATCTCGGGTTTGACGAAGTAAAATATAAAGGCACTATATAATGCATATTGCTATGATCTCCGTTTTTGGCAATCGTGCACAATAGTGTCATGGTGCAACTTTGGTGACCTAGTTTTTAGGAGGCTCATATAGGAATGCAGAAGTTGTGGTAGATGTTATCTAAGCGCATCATCCTTTTAAAAGCATACATGAGAATTCTTGACCAATTAAAGCTTATTAACCAAGCCCTCATGGAACACACTTCATTTTATTCTTCATCATCATGTTATCTTTATCGTCAATTCCTTTGTAAGTTTTTTGTGCCCTAACAGAAGAAGGAGCTCCTTTTTCCACTCTCATTTGTCTTCTCTACTTGCAATTTGACACCTCATTTCATTGAGTCTCTTATCCTATAGTTCATCTTAAAACCCATTAGCAGTTGTTTAGTAGTTTGTTTTGAGTGTCTATGACACCTAACCTCTTGTTATGAGGCTTAGCCTTTTACATTAATCCAACATCCTTCAAGAATACCAACCACTATTGTTGTTGTTGTAACAACCCGAACTCTCATACATCGAAGATATTGCCCGATTTGGACTGCCTCATGGTCCCCATTGGTGTAATTTCCCATGAGTGTTCTTGCACGAGCACATTTAACATTGGATTTTCTGATGAAATTCAACTGTTATACCAAAAGAATCTCGATATTAAAGAGTACAACTTTATTTTATTTAAGGGGTTTCACAATCTCCCTCACTTAAGTAACTGATGTCTTCGTTAGTTTTCTCAGCCCAGAATCATTCATCATGCATAAGGATTATAGAGGTGGCCCCTACAGATTCAAGTTGCGGCTCCCACGGCGTAACAATTTTTTTTGTTTGAAACTTAATTCCCATATTCAGGATAGTGTAATGCTTTGATATCATTTGGAATAACTTAAATTCTCATATGTTGAGATATTGCATGCTTTGGCTCAGTAGCCTCACGTTTTTGCCCAATTGGTGTAACTTTCCTAGAGTGCTTCTGCATGGGCATGCTTAACTTTGGAGCTTTTGACGAAATTTCAACCGTTACACTAAAAGACGCCTCGATGTTTTGGGTTCAACTTTATTCTACTTGAGGGATTTCACAATATTAAAAATAAAATATTACGAAACCCCTCAAGTAAATTGCAGCTGAACTATTAAAACTCGTGATGCTTTTTGGTGTAACGACTGGAATTTAATCATAAATTCTGAAGTTAAGCCTGCACATGCGGGAGCGATCCCCCCCCCAGATTGTTAAACCAATGGGATAAAATCGTGAGGCCGTTAGGCCAAAGTGGACGATACCTCGATGAGTGAGAGTTTGAGATGTTATAGTTGCCAAGCATAGGATTTGAAAATGATTTGTCAAAGGCTTCTAATGCTCCTTCCAAGTGCAGAAACATCATTATAGGCTCTAGTTGGCAGTAATTTTCACAGTTTATGCTATTGATCTTACCCCGCGGATAAGCACCCTCTGGGCATTCAATTTACATTTCAAAAACATACTAATTCGACTTGTTACAATGACTCAAATATCGGACAACTATTTTTTTTTGCACAATCGATATGATTCGTTTTTATTATGTTATGAATAATTCTTAATCAACATTAAAGCAGCTTGAATCATTATGCTCTTTATGAATGTTGTGCGCTTTAATGGGTTATGAAACTATGGCTTTGGGCCATTTTTAGGTGAATAATAACTCTACAACGCATGGATCATATACATGATTTTCATTTTTTAGTTAGCTCTATTAAGTTGGGAGGCCTTCTTTGTTCTTGCTTCAAGCTTTAATTTTGTTTCTCTCTTTATTGACAGGTTAGGATCCAATGCTATGTTGAGAAGAGTAAGAGACGAAGGAACAGAGTGTGCCCAGATATTATTTCTACGAAAGAGCAGCAGAAACGACAAAAACTTGTGATGAAGTTTATCAAAATGAAAAGACTGGTCGAGGTTCAGAAACTTTTGAAAGAGGAGATTGATATGGAACCTTGGGGACGAGATGCTCAAGCTAAGGTCTGGCTATCTTTCTTTCTTGCTTTTAAATTTTAGATCATGATTTGCTGTTTTGCTCTGTAAACTGAGACTTGTTATCTATGCAGTTGGGAACTCGTTTGATTAAGCTATTGATAGAATCAGCTTTTGTGCAGCCACCAATTGATCAATTTGGTGACCATTCACCGGATATTCTTCCAGCTTTTATGCACAAATTAAAAACTGTTTCCGTGGAAGATGGGTAAGAAAATTTGAGTATTACCCCAATTCTATTCTGCTGAGATTATTGAAAATATATTCATTCCTTATTAATATGCATTTTGTATAGAAAATTAAAGAACAAATATGGTGTTGTTGAATGCCATGCATTAGTCCACATGGGACTTGGTAGCACTGTAAGTTTTGCTTATCTTTGTATTTTTTTTTTTAAATGTATTTTGACCAGATATACCTTTTTATGTTCAGAGAATATATTTTTATTTAATTATGTATCCAAGTGTTTCCGTATATTGGATTTTATAATTATTTTTTAATATCGGGCTGGTTGTTTTTCTTTTTATTTTCACCCTCAGTAAGCCAGCTTTTTATGTTGCTAGTTTAGCAACCAAAAACATAAGTATTATATCCCTGCAACATTTCTATTTCTTTCTTGTGGTTTCTTATGGTGTATTTTGTCAAGCTGAAAGTGAGACTTGTTTGCTTTCTTTCTTCGTTTCTCATTTTTCAGGCCAGGCTGATGGTGATTCCTTACATGCCAATGTTGATACCACCAAAAAAGTGGAAAGGGTATGTTTAAATAGATAGCTTTATAACCTATTTGAAGCTCTACATTTTCATTTTTAATTATATACGATTCTAAGTTTTCGAATGCTTCAAGTCTACTTAACTAAATTGTGCGATATAGCATTGAGCTTGGGAGTGCTCTTTGCACCCATATTTTTGGTTTAGCTTTTGTCTGGGCATCCATGCAATTTTCATACACGGTTTAATATTGTTAAGTATGCTTTCTTTATGGGTACTCCTTTACTTTCTGTTTACTTGTTTATGTATTTTGATTTTGTCTGATCAGATATAATAAGGGTGGGCATTTATTCTTACCTTCCTATGTGATGCGTACCCATGGAGCTAAGGAACAACAAAATGCGATTAAAAGTGTTCCTAAAAGACAGCTAAATAAAGTTTTTGAGGTCCTTCTTCCTTCTTTGCCAGAAACAATTATTTTATTGTTGTCTAGTATTTTATTTTTTCATGCATCAATTGGTTCTTTATTCACATTATGAAAGTCATTTCTCATCAAGCTGGAACTTGGCTATAAGTCCTTCCATTTTACATCATATATGTTAATTGTTTTCATGCTTGATTAAATTACTTTTGCCTTCTTTGTGCTGAACAATTGAACCAAAAAGTGATACTGTAAAGTAAAGACCTGATATAAGGCGGCTCAATTATACTCTCCTCATCAACAAGATCAGGATAATAACATATCTAAAATATTAGTTATTGAAACAAGAAAGTGTGCTAGGAAAATACCCTTACATATAAAAAAATGCCAAACTCATCAGACCTTATCACCATAAGTAGCAGTAGGTTCTTCAGGCTCACTATGACTAAAAAAATAAACTTGAGGTCGAACAAGTTGACTTGGTTGAACTTGGGTTGGAGCTAAAGCTATTGACTCTATCACACTCCACCCTCATGCAGCCTTCTGTGAAAGAACTCCACCTGCTTTTTGATCTGCAATGCTCTTTTGGCTGAGCGATGGACAATATCTTGCATATGACTTGAATGACGACATTAGTAGCAAGTGTTAGAGCCCATCAAACATTAATCTTTATGTTGTCTTTCATATTTGACACAAGTGACTACAATACTCTGTGACTTGTCTCTTTTAATTTCACCCAAATTGAACTTGGACTTCTTCCCATTTGATCTCTCTGATTGATCTGCATGTTCTCCTTCATCAATACTCGTCTTCTTGTGTGTCTTCTTATGCTTCCGACTAAGTTGATAATCAATCTCCACTCTTCTAGCCCATTCCATTTACCGAGTATTCATTGATCTCCAAAGGCATCAACGACTGTGTGATTGAATTCTTTAATCCTGAAAGGAATCTACAACACTTTTCTGCTGCTTTAGCGATTAACCGTGACATGTACCTTAATAATGTAGTGAATTCTATTTTGCACTGCATGATCGTCTTCTCTCTTAGTACCATTCTGATAAATTTATTTTGCATTTTTCTTCGAGCAGATAAATGTACAAACCACTCTCTGAAAAGCTTCACAAACTCTTCCCAACTTGCCATAATGTTCAATATGTCTCCTAGTTTTTTCTGTCTCCTAGTTTTTCCTGATGCTGCTTGCACCACCACTTTTCAGTTTCTTCATCCACCACAAATGTAGCGAATGACATTCTTCTTTCATTCATATAGTCCATATTATCTAATATCTTCTCAATTTGCATGAGTTAATTTTTTGCTTCAATTGAATTTTCAGTTCCCTTAAACAAATGTGGACATAAATCGTAAGATATTTATAAGTACTTATCCATAACAACTATATCACTTCCAATAGGCGACGATTTGTTCTCCTCAATCAATTGCGTTATGGCCGCCATCAACTGGGTCAGGGCTTTTGGGTTCACATTTATAGTATGTTGTATTTCATCGTTTTCTTTTAGACTTTCTTCTCCTATAATTTCGGATGTATCCCTATGACTGAATGGATATAATTATTAATTTAACTTAAAATTTTAATTATTATTATTATCCTATTGTCTCTTTCATCAAAAGTACATTAATTAATCATAAATCTTAACTATGGTACCACTTTTGCCATAACCCAACCCGGGGATTTGAATTAACCAAAGCATGTGCAGACGACCAGACAGTGAGAAATTTAAAAAAAATCTTTATATCATTTTCCATAGCATCTAATTAAATGAAAGAGCTACTAACAAAAAATTAATTAAAACATCTCAATTAAATTTATCTCATTAGACGTCCGCGTATTTTGTAAATATTTCCTCTTCTATCGTTCATCTTTTAAGTCACTCAATTAAGTCTGAAAGTTTAGTTTAAAACAACAATGAGCTAACTGTACCCAATGAATACTCAAATTCCTAAACTATAGTAACACAAAGAAAGTAAATAATATGCATGCTAATTAAGCTTTTAATAAATTAATATAAAACATTTGATAGTTTATGAATATGATTACTTGCAATTTTTCATGATATTCAATATGTTTTACTATATCAAGATGTCTATATCATTCTATGTTTGTATAACCGTCACAAACGCATCATCTAAAAATTATATCAGCTAAGATATTTCAATATCAATATTTTTTTTCTTTTACGTGAACGAGTATTTTGATGTTCCCCCACTAATATCATAAATATGTGAACTTCATTATAACCAAACATGCACATGCAATTATACTATACAAAACACTATCTAATAATGATATTTTCATGCTTTTTTGTATTTCAATCAATATACTAGTACCCAATCAATATCTATGATAATTTAAATTATGCTGAGCATACATGCCATTCCAACAATATGAATAAAATTTAATAGAACAAAAAATTATCTGTATGCAATGTTATAAATATAACAGTAACAGTAAATATATTTGATTGAAAAGAGGCAAAATATTAATATAAAATAATGATATTGTACTCACCTTGATGTTCTTCATGACTTATTGCTTAAACCACAAGTCCTTCAATTGAACACCTATTATGTGAAATCATACATATTAATAAAATTTTTATCACATTACTAATTATGCTAATTAACCATTATTAGTTATTTTTTTCTTATTTCATTATTTAATTTCGACCATAATCCTTCGTCTTTAATTTTAATTATGTTTTGATTAAACTATAAATCTTTCAATCTTAATTAATTAATATTATTTTATTATTGCTTAACTTAATTCCACTAATAATCATATATTAAAATTATAGTTATTTTAGTTCATTTAATCAATTTATCAATTTTCTCCCTTCATTTATTAACAATGCTTTCATCTAAATCTTTTAAATTTTTTTTTATGGCTAAAACCATCAATTAGTTAGTTTCATAATATATCACAATAACTTAAAAGAAAATTCAAATAAACAACTCTACTGATCGCACAGTAAACATACAAAGTTTTCTGCATGTTTGCTTGATCCTTTTATTAAGGGTTAGGTTTCTCTTGAATATATGCGATCTCACATAAATCAATTCTCAACAACAGTAATCTCAAGTGATTTTTTTTAGGGGATTATTTTTTAATAATAATAATGATGATGAATATTATACTTCTAAAGATGGAAGTCGACGGCACTATATTTAATCCCCAGGATAAAGTCCCGACCTGGAATGTCACATTCTCCACGAAGCAAAGTTCTACCTAACAGTATTATTGCGTCGATGTTTCGGCTACGACTTATCCGCTCAATAGGCCCCGCCTGACTTTACATGTGATTCTTATAATGATAAAAGGGATCAAAATTTTGTATTCATCCTTCATTTTAAGTTTCTATTTTGGGGCATTTATGGGGTCGACGCATGAATTATTTTTCTCCATTGCGCCTATTGAGCGTCAGAGATAATAAGAAGGATCTATATATGATTTTTATTGATTTAGAAAAAGCTTATGATAAGGTTTCAAGAGACATCCTTTGGATTCTTGAGAAGAATTATGCTGATATGACTTATATTCGAGTCATTAAAGATATTTATGCTAGAACTGTTACTTGTGTTCGAACAAAAGGAGGATTGACATATTATTTTCCTATTTTTATTAGTTTACGTCAGGGATCAGCTTTAAGTCCATAACTTTTTGCTTTAGTTATGGATGGTCTTACTGGACACTTATAGGAGGATGTACCTTGGTGTATGCTTTTTTAATGATGATATTCTTCTTGCGAATAAGACGAGAGAAAAAGCTCAGGAAAAACTTGAATTATGGAGGTCTACTTTGGAGTTTAAAGTCCTTTGTTTGAGTAGAACTAAAACTGAATACATGGAATGAAATGTTAGTAATAGCAACTCCAGAGACAAAATTGTAACTATGGGTGATCAAATTATTAAAAGGTGTGAACACTTTAGATATCTCGGGTTTATTGTTTAATGTGATGGTGGTATTGATGGGGATGTTATTAGTAGAATTCAAGTTGGTTGGTTGAAGTTGAGGAATTCTTCGGGCCTATTGTGTGATATAAAAATACCGCTTAGACTGAAAGAAAAAATGTATAAGATGGTGGTGAGATTTGGAATGCTCTGTGGCGCTGAATGCTGGTCTTTAAAAGAGAAGCATAAAACTAAGTTAAGTGTTGCCGGGATGAGAATGATTAGGTGGATGAGTGGCTTAACACTTAGAGACAAAATGCGAAATGATTATATCCGTCATAGGGTTCATGTAGCTCCAGTGATGAGCAAAATTAGAGGGAGTCGTCTTAGATGGTTTGGTCACATTAAAGGTCGACCATCTGATGATCCGATTAGAAGAGTAGATGTTTTAGATTCGACTTATGTTAAGGAAGGCAGAGGTAAACCTAGGATGACTTGGGCTTATTGTATAAAAAATGATCTTAATTTATTAGAATTAAATGAAAATATGACATTAAATAAGATGCATTGGAGAAAAAATGATTTATGCAGCCGACCCCACTTTGTGGGATAAAGGTTTTGTTGTTGTTGTTGCGCCTATTGAGTGTCATAATTTCATTTAATTCTAATAAATTAAGATATTTTTTATACAAGATGCCCAAGTCTTTCTAGTTTTATCTCTGCCTTTCTTAAATAAGTCGAATCTAAAATATCTACTCTCCTAATCGGATCATCAGATGGTCGACGTTTAATGTGACCAAACCATCTAAGACGATTATTTCTAATTTTGTCTGCCACGGGAGCTACACCAAACTTATCACGGATAAATCAATTCTCCCAACAACTTAAACCCCCTGCACTGGTTATACTGAAGTGAATCAGTTTAATGAGCCGTGGAAAGTCTCCAGGCCAATTCATAGGAATGTTAATATAGAAATATATTTAAATTTTATGGATTTATTAGAGGCTAAGGCATGCGTGGAGCCATTGATAATTGATCTTCAAGGTTATTATGGCCATAACTATGATAGTCATTCACCTGTCTAAAAGATAACAGAAGGGGGCCTGCATTCAAATATTTTTCTTACACTACCAAGTTCAGCCTACTCAGTTTGATCTCTCGCACCGACGCCCTCGCCTGCTCTGAACCAATACTTCTGTAACTCCGACACCCTTGTTGAATTTCTTGTCTCCTCTACTCAATGACGTCGCCGCCTCCTTAAGCTTTGCTCGATGCAAGGGGAAGCCTTAGCTTGTGCTCGTCAGTCCTCCTGATTTCGTTTTGTGTCAGTCGACTCCTCTGGCAAGTTTTCCTCTCGATCTTGCTTCTTTTTCCACCGTACGCAACAATTTATTAGTCCAAACAACCCTTTGCATATCCAGTCGCTCGTTTAATTTCCCTCCCTTCGAGTTCTTTGAGGGATGAAACAATTCGTCGCATGGAAACTCCCCAAGTAGGTGCAACTTGTGTGGTAGGGTATGTATCTGAAAATTGTGACATCTTCTTATATGAGGTTCCGTGTCTAGTATTATCTCCTCAAACTTATGGCCTTTTTGGACCTCCACTAACAGTCCTGCTGACGACTATTATTTTAGACCCACTAGCTTCTAGAATAACTACTGTCAACTCAATCGAAGTGTCTCTTCGGGATTCGATTGGACTAACGTGTTTCTTTTCTCGTCGGCTAGAAGTTGAGAATCACATCTAAAATCTTCATCTTTTTCAGGATCACTGTTTATTTCTTCAACTGTTCCCTAATCTGTGAGATAGATCAATCTCAATGTTATGCAGTCTAGTTTTGTATGTCCAAATCCATGGCAATTTAAATACTTTCTAGCTGGGATGATTTTTGAAATGCAGATTGTTTCCACGTTTTCTCCATTGTTACCTAGTGCCTCCTCTGGCAGGGCCAGCTTGGATGTTCTCTTGAGTGCACTTTAGCTATAAGATCATTGGATTAAACTATACTTGTTAGTATGGTGGTCATCCGATAATACAGTCTCTCTACTTTTGAAGCTAAGAATTGCACATCCTGTCCGTGATGAACTGGTAGTTACTAGTGCTCCATCTTTCGTTTCATTTGGAACCATGTATAGATCTTATCTTTCCCCTTATATGCTGGCGTTGATGCTACAAAATTTGCCACAAAAAAAAAAGTGCACTCTTCTTTAAGTTGTTAGCTGCTAGTTTCATAATTTATCTTGTGGGATGTCCTAATACTCAGAGAAAAAGTTCCAAGGTATGAAGCCACTCGATGAGCTCGTCCGAATCTAAGTGACCGTTAAAATGTGGCAAAAATTCACTCTTACCTCAAATTCCCGACTTCTTAGATATTTAAGGTCACTTCTTTGGGATAAAGGCTCTGAAATCTCTAATAGACAATTTACCTCTGTATCCTCTAACAGACACTTCGTTTCTGTATCCTCTGATAGACACTTTATTTCTATAATCGAATGGAGTTCGGGTGATCCCTCTGAATGGCCTTCTTTCCTCAATTTTATCGAGCGGTTGTAGCACTTGGCGGAGTTGTCGCTGTATCTCTTCCATGGTAAACTTTTGATTGACGTTTTGTACTTATCTTAACATTGGCACGGTTAGGGTTTGAGGTTTTGGGAGTGGAAATGAGGGAAATTTTTTTTTCTTTTTGGGGTGTGGTTGGGGGGAGTGGAGATAGGTTTGGGTACGACGGATGCTAGAAATATTAGGATAAGATTAAAATTAGACTAACTTTGATACCAAATGATGTTGAAGTTAACCAAAACCTCAACATGAATAACAATTGTTATACTGAAAGCAAATAGACGGTTACAATCAAACACACTTGAAAGGGGAATTAGAAAAAAAACACGACATGAACTCACACTAGGGTTTGATCTATGGGTGGTGGAGGTTGGCTAGGTGGTCGGGGAGTGGAGGCAGGTGATTGCAACGAGTTATGGGTTGTTGGGACAACAAAAGGAGGGTATGGAATTGCGTTGGCAGCGAAGTGAAGGGCTTGGATAGGGAGGATCAGTGAAGGAGGGCTGTGGATTGCAGGACAGCGAGAGAACTGCTGTTTATTGCGGGGTAGAAAGCTAGGACTGCAAGGACACATGATAGGCTGCACTCGAGGCGGCAGCAAGTCAGAAGGATGGTTGGAATGGTAGAACAGCAGGTTGGATGGCAGTTCTTGGTGGTAGCAGCGAAGGAAGTAGGCGGGAAGCGAGATGGGAAGGTTGGGGAAGGGCGGAGGCGGATGGTTGGGGAAGGGTGGAGGCTGGCTATGTTCGGCGGCAATGAGAATGTGATGGGAGGGAGGTGGCTGAAATTGGTGGAACTGCTGGAGATAACAAAAAAAATTGCTATTCCGACGGCTGCAGCAGGGAAGGGACGATGGGGATCGATGCGGGAATGTCGCAGAAGGTTAGGAGGAGTAATTTCCTCCTTGGGATTGAGATACATCTGGAGCTCCACCTAAACTCTAAGATGCAACCCTCAAAGGTAGAAACGAATGCCTACAGCTGTCCTAAACAAATTCATGCAAAAAAATTGCCTTCAAACAACACAATAACAATCTATACAGCCCTAGGGAAAATAGGAGTGGACCCCACTCCAAATAGGAGGGGTGTCACTTCTTGTGCTTTGTACCGAGCGGTCGCAATTGTGGCATTTGCTGTTCCACTGTGCAGTATGCGATCTTGCGTCCATTGAGTGATGCCCGGCACCACTCTAACGCTTAATTCTGCTTTTTTGATTATTTGGTATCCGGTTGTTATTATGAAAAAGGTAGCTCAGCGAGCTGTTATAGTGTTTGCACGTATCTCCTCAGTCAAAATTGGGTGCCCACCTCATTGTTTTATGCCTTTAAGGACTGGCATCGAGCTGTTATAGTGTTCGCACGTATCTCCTCTGCCCACCTCATTGTTTTATGCCTTTAAGGACTGGCATTTGCTTATGCACATCTAATGGCACCCGCTTGGGAGATTCGCCATGCAAAATGGTCTTACCTTGCCTCTGCTAAGGGCCTTAGCAAGCACCGAGATCCTTTTTAAAAACACTTGTTTTGATTCTTTGATAATTATTTGGCTGCTTTTGTCATAGAAGCAATAAACAAATTGCTTTGTTTTTCACTTTTTTTGCTGAACGATTTATTTGATAGCGCCACAGCAAAATTCTGTTAAAAAATAATTATTTATCCTGAAGCGATGGCAAATTCCGATACTTAGCAAAAATTACTAGCAGTCTAATAGGAGTTATGGTTATTTATCTTCAATGAGCTCCCAAGTCTGAAATACTCAAGCGCTTCTTCCTTATGAAATTAACAAAATTTTCTTTACAAACATTTTCTTATAATTTTGTAGCAGTTACAGATTTAAGGTTGTTAATCTACATTTTCTTCTTTTTAGGCCCTAGATACTCTTGGAAGTACCAAATGGAGAGTGAACAGAAGAATACTGGAAATAGTAGAGTCTATTTGGAATCAAGGTGGAGGTATTGCTGGCTTGGTTGGTCGGGAAGATGTGAGTAGCTCAAAATGGTTTTTTTTTTATGCAGTCATTTGTTTTTTTTTTCCTCTGCATAAAAAAATAATTGATTTTGGTTGTGCTATAGTGCGGGACAGTTTCATTATCAAATGTTCATTAAATTGTTGTAGATGTATTACATGACCTCTTCTTTTGTTGTTTACCAAAGCTAATCACTTTGAATTAATGAGATTTAAAGGAAATCCGATCAGCTATTCATTTTGTAGTTGATTTGTATAATTTTTTAAAATTACACAATATGAAATGTGCCTTGAGATTCTACTTATAACATTTTTATGAAAAATTTGCATTGACGTTTATGCTCAGATACCAACTTTAATTTGAAATTCGATAGAAAACATAATTTTATTACTTAAACAACGACGGGGTTACATTTGAGACCAAAATAGAACATAAGACACATCACATACTGATAGCTGACTAGGGTGAGGAGGAACAACCCTGGGGAAGGCGGTTGAGGGAGCTAAGATGGGTAGCGACAGGTGCACGTAGGCTGTAGGTGGGGAAAGAGAATTGCGGTTAGCAAGGATGGCAGGTAGGGGTTGCGACTACCAGGGACAATTGGGAAAGCAGGGAAGCAACATCTTGGTTGGGGGGGGGGGGGGGCTAGTGCTGTAGGTGGGGAAAGGGAATTGCGGTTAGCAAGGATGGCAGGTTGGGGTTGCAACTACCAAGGACAATTAGGAAGGGAGGGGAGGGGGAGCGATATAACACGTGTGGAGGTGACAAAAATTGAGGGGCTGGCTGGGGCCACCAGTCACGAGACCTACGACAGGGGGGGAGAGGCAACATCACTCCAGCTTTAATTAGGGTCGGCCAGTTTGGCCTCCCTGCTGCCGACAGCGCCTTGGTTGAACCTTCGGCTGGTTCAACCTTAACAACATTGTGTCAGTCTCCTGGGGTTGGGGAAGCTTTGAATTCATTCGTCAAACCTTATGATTCATCGTTTGCCGTCCTAGCAGCACTTGGATCCCACCGTCAGCTGCACCGTCTCCCAAAATATCAGAAGAGCTTTGTCCACTTGCAAATATACATCCATGTCGGTCCAACCTTCTGGATGCTCGCTACTGATTTGGTTAGGGCCTGTGCATCACACACATATACTACTGGATCTTTCCGAACTAACCCAAGGTTGGCTCATCCCGATATGAAGTGGAAGTAACCTGAACTCCTCGAATTGTGGTGACCATGGTGGTAAGGTATTGACCATGATGCCCTGAAATGTTCTTTGTCTTGATTGTTCTGTCTGAAGCTTTCTTCTCAATCTTATCATCCTATGTCATCACCAATACCTGTCCCACTGAGGCAGCTCTAATGGCAAGGGCTCCTATGAACTCTGACTTTGCCGAAGGAAGTAGGACGGTGCACTTCCCTTCATTGATGAAGGGGTAGGTGTTTTTGAATCCATCGTGGTGAGTCCTATGATTAAATTGCCATGTTCTCCCAACAAAAGGTGACAGGAATCCATGGGGATCATGTTGCAATACACTTGATCCTGCTCCCAATCGAAAACTCCACTAAACACATTTGGTCAATGCTGATCCTGTTTTTCTTTTTCAGCCACGTTAGAGAATATGGCTGGGAGTGCCACTGAGTCATTAGGTCCTGCTTCTTCGTCTGTATCTACGTCATTTTCTTATTGCTCCCTCCATCAATGATGAGCCTGCATGTCTTCCCATTCATAGTACAACATATATAGATTATATTGTGATGAAACCACTACGGGTCTCTCATATCCTTGGTCTGTATGACCTATTGAAGCACGAGTGCCTCTCCTTCATCAGGTGGAACATGATACACCCACCCTATCTCCTCGTTGCTAACCTCTTCCATGACGGCATGCTTGATAAAATACACAACTCGACTCGTCGGGTAGCTCAAGATGATGTGCCCAAATCTGTGACATCTGAAGCATTTTTTTGGGGGGACTGTAGTAGGCATGCTACTCTTCTCAGGCTTCTTCTAAGTGGGGGTGGTTCTATCCTTCTCTGAATTAGTTTCAGTAACTCTTTGAGGTATGTTCCTGTTGGTGTCTCCAACTGTGGGTGGCTGCTTGACCGGTGTTGGTTGTCTGCTCTATTTCTACTTCCTTCACACCTTCAATGCTAAGGTCTGAACATCCCCAAGTGACCAATAAGACTTTAGTTGCACCAAGTTACTAATAACGGGCTTCAGACCGTCCAGATAACGGGCTATGATGTGTTCCTCTGGCTTGACCAAATCACACTTTATTTGCAACTGGTCAAAACATGCTGTGAAATCCACTGATAAGTCTCTCAGTTGCAGATGGTGGAGTCTCAGAAGCATATTGTGGTAGTAGCAAGGTGCTAGGTCTCTCATCTGCTTCTCTTTCATCTTTTCGTACTTGAAAAATTTCTCTGTCTTCTTTTTTCCTCTGCCTCTACAAATTTTCCTACAACGAGGAGCCGCTCTTTCTCAATTTAATAGCTGCAAGCTTACCCCTTTATCTTCTAACATCTCTTTGTACTTAAAGATCCTCTTAATTAATTGTAGCCATTCGATAAAATCATTTGGATTCATTCCTTCATTAAATTCTAATAAATCCAAATTTATTTCGAAGTTTCTGTGTCCTTCAAAATGATGTCTCCATTCTAAGCATCCCCCGACACTAAATTCCGAAACGCCGTGACATTTGTTCTTCATCGCTGAAATCCTCCCTATGGAAGGGGTTGAAATTCTCGTCTCTTTGAATTTCCTTATCACCATCGAGGGTAAGTCCTCCCTGGGTTTCATTCTTAATGTCAGCAAGCCTCTGTTGAAGGTCACGGATTTCTCGTTGGATCTTTTTTTGGGTAGGCTTGAACATTTTTCTCCTTGGTGGCATGACTAGGGTTTAGAGTTGAGAGGTGAAAAAGGATATAAAAAATTGATTTTGGGTTGTTGATTTTGAAAATCAACATGGGAAAACTACGGTTTGGTTAAAGTTTAGCTATGACTTGGAAATAATAAAGAAAATTTTTAGTGTAGGGGTAAGACGGATGCGAGGAAACCCTTGGATAGGAATAGATTTTGACTAGCTCTGATACTAATGATATCGGAGTTAATCCAAAATTTGTTAGGGCAAGGACACATAACAATTTGGTTACATCCACAATATCCGAGAACAGAAGAGAACAAAAGACACATCAAACGTTAATATCCGACTAGGGAAATGAGGAACAACTTGTTGGAAGGCGGTGAGGGAGTGGAGGTGGGTAGTGACAGGTGGAGTTTTTTTTTTT